GTCTGCATAGCTTCGCTGGTTTTCTTACACTTGTATGCTTGTATAGTGACACAGAAAGAGACTGTAATCTTCCGCACTTAATTTCCTGGGAAAAAATGTTGCTTCTGCACATAATCCTGGCTGCAGTTAAGGTTTCCAGAAATTGGCAAAACAAAAAAGGAACTGTAGAAGCTAATTCTACTTCCCGGGAACAGCTTCTGTTGACACGGGAATGCACTTAATGTCCCGAATTGGTCATTGAACTGTATGTGATTCTGGTAAAACTGGGAGGTTTGTTTCTCTTCAAATTCTCAGTCATCCAAGTCATGGTAATGCTAGGAGGTTCAGTAAAAAAAAGCAACTAGATTTCAGGTTTTTGAAGATGCTTCACTGCTCATATAAGAGGCCTCTTCAGTCAACATCTTCAAAAATCTGAAAGAAAAGTCCAGCTGCTTTTTACTGAAGGTTCGAAGATGTGAGGTTTGTTGAAATGCATTTGAAGTGCAATTAATCTCTTCCTAAAGAATAAACAGCTTATTTTACTGTGCAAAGCAAAGAAAAATACTTTGGATTGATGGTATTTGATGATTGAATGCAAGGTTCCTACCTGCCAGTGTCAGCTGGTGCAAATATAATGACGAGCGACAACCTTGCACTTACGGATCCAAAAACAACAAGACACAGTTTGACGCCCGCAGAGCAAACACACTTTGTGCTGGACCGTGTAATCCAGGCTACTATTTTCTTTTTCCATTCAGCCTGCATCTGTGTAAGTGGTGTCTTTAAGGCTACCGGCTCCCGTGTTAACCTCTTCCATGCATCCTTTTGTTTGCTGCCGCACGGTTGATGGGGTGACCTTGCGAACCCTGCAGTGATTGTCTCGCGCCGTTAAGTGCCTCCTGATTGTGGGCAGAGCAGAGCGGCGATAATGTCTACCAGATTCTCCTCCTGTCACACATGCATACATGCAGCAGCACGTAGGCATGCATTTCAGCACACAGACAAACAGCGAAAGCCACACACACAAGCCACTCTTTGCTTTGTGTCTCAACAGTAAACAGTTTTAGTGCTTCATTGATGGTTCAGAATGTTTCCTGATGGCGGACGAAGGCACGCCAGTGATGTTGAAACGCGTTTTCTGCTGTGTTTATTTTGGAGGCTGCACAGAGGAAACTCATCCTCCAGCGTGCCTGAATTTCTGTAAATGTTCACGTTTCCGGCCTCAAACCTCCACTTTGCCTTGATACCTCCACCATCTGCTGCACAAACATCACGCTCTCAGTAATGTGGACCTTCATTTTCATTTATTTTCTATAATGATGGATGATGAGTCTTGTAGCGATGACAAGAATGCGTTGATGAGGTCTAAAAAATAAAACACACACATGTAAACATGCCTTCACACACATGAAGTTCTTCATCCTTCTTCCTTGTCTCACCTCTGTAACCTCAGCCTCCACTATAGTGACTCGAGCTGTCAACAGATGGCTGATCCCACATGGTGAGTGTTGATTTAGTCAAAGATGTGAAAACAAACCGGGTTTCCCCTCTCCTCTCATCTCCTCTGTTCTCTACTTCGGTTACTCTAACCCTGCTTTCCTATTCTAAATCAGAGGAGTCGAGGATGTCGTGACGCCTTTGCTGTGCTGTATATTCATACCATCAAGAACACATGTTTTCTCTCAGATAACCAACATCGAAAAAGATCTGTGTTGGTGCAGACAGAACGTGTCATGAAAACCACCGTTGATATCAGCAGTGATGTCTAAAAATGCAACTGTCTACTGTAAACTATGGTAAAAATACATCTTTATGTTATCAATTGCTCGAAACAAGTTGCATCTTTTTGCCTGTAATTGTGAATGAAGTTCTGTAGAAAATTATAATTTAATGTTGTGTTTGACAACCATGATCTCAAGCTTTTGGTCAACAATGTCTGCTTGCAGTTGACTAGTTTCCTAACTACTGTGGCCCTGAAAGCTCCACACGCTGCAACTTGAGAAAAAAAATATACAAATTGAGAGAAAACAAGCAAATTTAGGAAAGAAAGGGAACACAGAATTTTTTAAAAAGCGGAAAATACAAAAGCAGACATAATGGGTAAACTGCATCATTGTACCCCATCAGTAAGACAGTCTTTTAAACATCTAATTATTAATTATGTGGGTCCAAACTGGAACACTGTTTTCTGCTGAAATGTGATGTGTCAGGTGAGCAGGCATCCAGCTGCTTTCCCACCACGCACTATCCAAAGCCGTGGAAAAACCATTAACTCAGTTAAATTGATACTAGGTATTCCAAAACCAATACGGTTCGATCAAGCTTCCAAATTTTCATCCCATTTGTTTGCTCAAGTACTTAAACAGCTGCATGTTAGGCGTAATAGATCCACTGCATTCCACACCCAGGGCCAGGGTGCATTAGGAAGTTTCACTGAATCCTTGTTGCATGCATATTGTACTGAGCTGTGAGGTGATCGGGTAAGAGGGGCTGCCCTGGTGGCTGCCAGCTGCTCATGAAGTGGTCCAGGAAAACACGAATTTCAGTCTGAATAATTTGGTGTTTGGATATAAAGTGCGTGGCCCGCTAGCAGTTTTGAAGGATGATTATTTGCCAAAGGAGCCTCCATCAAAACCTCTGTGATTGTTGTGAATGGGTTCAGATTAAAACTTCACAGGTCAGATGAGGTGAGTTAAAACACTTAACACAAAAAATACAGTTTAGTAATATATAGTAATAATCCATTAATATAATAATAACACAGAAATTAGTCACAAAACAAAATATACCCAAAACAACATAGAACAATAAAAACTACACGTAATGAAGAATCTAAAACTAAAGATCACCAAATAAATCAAACAGATTTCAATATATATTTAGAGATGAAAAATGTGTTTATTACTGTCGTATCTAAATGACTTTTCTCAATAAATATTTCCTGAAAACCATTTATGTTGCTAATGTAGTGCTGTTGTTGTGTGCTTTATGGAACAGTTTTGTTTCTTTTTTGTATTATTAATCATTTGTCTTGTATATAATTCATAGTTACTCGCCAGAAAAGTTGTATGTCGGCTAGCAGAAGTACAACACTGATTAGGTTATGGTTACATTAATTTCTTTTTTGTACAACTTCATTAAAAAAAACACACAAACAAACAAGAAAAACCCAAAAGGACCACTTCTTCTGGCACTTCTGGACATTTCACATCTGCTTGTTTTGAATTTTGACTTGTTAGTGCCACACTGGGCCACCGTGATGACACCAGAACATCCTGGTTTGAGTATTTATAGCAAATGTGTCCCCTCCCTGTCTGTCCTTTCATTGTCTTTTCATTGGTACTTGCACAAACAGCACATGATTCACGTTCGCAGGTGTCTTTATTCTATTTTGCCTCCACCAACCACGTGGCAGATGGTTTTATTTTTGTTTGTACTAACTTGCCGCAGCCATGTTTTTTAATATAATTAAGTGGGAACCCAAATTTCCCCTGAGAATCGCCAAAGTCATGGAAACTTTTTTTTACCAATATGCAGATCCAAGGTCAGTGCTGGTCACTATTTTAGGCTCACTCTATCTTCTGAGGCATTGCTTTGCACTCTGGGGCTTCGGTCGCAAATCTAATGGAAACTTGGTTTGGGGGTCTGTTTATAGAATCTGATGAGTTCAGGAACAAAGATGGGACAAGGGAATAGTCCATGTGTCCTTTTTGACATGAAACATTATTGCGGAAATGATTCAAGGGGTTTGAAAATACCTCTCCTTTGGCCTACTTACTTTTTTCTGTCCTTAACAGGGAAACACATCTTCCAAAAGTGGCACAGCACATATTTTACCAGCATGCGAGCTGCTAGATCTCAAATCTGCAAACAAACAGACTAAAGACTTGAAAGAAAAAGTACATTTTTGTGGCGTAACAGCTGCAGATAATCGATAAGTAGCTGTGTGTAGACTCGGAGTCGGTTCATTCTTATGCTCTAAGTATGATAAGTGACCACAGTGGCAGATGTTTTACACAGTAGGGAGGTAAGTGACACACACACCAGTAGATCCAGATCAGATGTGTGTGAGTGTGTGGTCTACAGTAGTAGCTCTGGGAATTCATGTGTGCTGCATAAACACTGTGGTATAAAAGGTTCATTGCAATACTTTAATTGCCTGTTTCTGGATGGAAAGATTTAGAGCGATAATGAAACCAACGTCTGAGCAGCACGAGACACACAAACATGTAAAATCAGACAGATTCGAAATACAAAAACTTGGAACAAACCTACACACACATAGAGATTCTCAGTTTCCATTGAAGCCACCTCTGGACCATCTGCTCCTCCATTCAGCAGGGTCGTCGGCCTCGGGCCTGGCACCGAAGGTCACAATGTGTGTGTGTGTGTGTGTGTGTGTGTGTGTGTGTATGTGTTAGTAGACAATGACCCAGCTGGACAACCCCCCAAACACACTTCAAACACAACTCACTGAGACCTTACACCTCGACCAGACCATCGGCATCTTTCAAGACGGGTGTTAGGTGCACGAAGAGGTGAGAGAGGAGGATGGAATTTGTGTGTGTGTGTCTGAGTGTATGTTAAGTGTGTGCGTCTTTCTTTATTCCAGCCTTGTCTGCTCACATCCACATATCTATCCATCTTTTTTTTTTTCTACAGACAGGAGGATGGGCTCCTTAACAGCAGCACAGATGAGCATCTGATCAATAAAAAACAGTCCTGGACTAGAAGTGTTAACGTCTGCTCGTCTCCCAGGAGGAATTCTGGTCTTTACTCTCATTGATTTCTAAAGGAAAGATCAGTATGGGTGGCTGAGCTGTGAAACACTTAAGTTTTGTGTGTGTGTGTGTGTGTGTGTGTGTGTGTGTGTGTGTGTGTGTGTGTGTGTGTGTGTGTGTGTGTGTGTGTGTTCTTTCATGGCTCAGTAGTGGACAATTCTACCGTTACCAGAGATAAAGCTTTGAAAGACTGAATACGCCAAAAGCTTTTGACATGCATCATCTCCGACAGCTTAACTTTGTGTTGTTCTTGTCGATAACAAAGGCAGGGGCATCTGAAATTCTCCCCTAGAATATAAAAGGTGTATTTTGTAGTTACTCAGAAGCTTTTTTTCTTTTTAGATATGTTGTATTTTCTTTGTTTTAATCAGTTCTACTTAACCATGTCTCTAAATCCAAAGCTCATTTTACATTACACTGCATGTGCACATTAATGATTTCCCCAAAGACTCCGTCCACGTGCTCTCATTTGGCCCATAGACTTTATTGTTATTAGGATAACGTGCAAACAAAAGCATTATTTTCTATGATCTGGGAAAGTTTTATCATTTTAAAAAAAGTTTTAAAAAATTAAATTGAAACCATTAAAATGACCAGGTTTGCAATCGGAGGTGTTATAAAGGTTGTCTATTAGGAAAAAAGGCTTTTTAAGGCCAATTCATGCCTTCCACATATGCAAGGGTGCTCGTGACATAAATTTCAACATCCACTCAAGTCTGCGAGGATCTGCGCAGACCCTCTGTGTGCAGCCCAGAATCTGAGAGCCAACCATCATTCTAAAATAGTGTGAGGAACTGAAAATATAATCCTGGCTAACAGCAACTGCAGCCAAAGCCATCATTAAGGCGCGTGTAGACCCGACTATAATCTCAACTGTGTATTCAGTTAAATTAATATGCTGTTCAGATGCAACTTTTTGTTATAGTGTTTAGACGAATTCAGCTTTATTCTTACCAGTGCAACTCTGATGGTATTAAACAGTCTTGGGAGCAAGTAAAGAGCAAATTTCAAGACATTATTCAACTGCCTTACAGCGAATCTTATAAGGTCAACAGGTGCAATAGTTTAGTGCTTTTTCAGCTGCTGTTTTATTGCACTGCTGCAAGGAATATAGAACAATTGTTTTGAAATTGTTTGCAGCCGTCAGGGAGAGAAAAAAAAATAAAGCAAGGAAGAATAAAGTTCCCTCTGCTGGGAATCTATTCACCAATATCTCATATCTATGCTCCTCAGGGAAAACCAGAGTTCAGTCGGTGTCTAAGAACTCTCACCATCTTCTCTCATTATCTGAGCTGTATGGGATCTTCCAGACGGAGTCATGCTTTTTTCCAGGAGAACTGATTGTTCAGTAGGCAGTGTTTTTTATATGCACTGATCTGTTATCAGGAACATAACATGCACAGGAGCAGGATTTAACCTGAAATAAAAGCGGAATTTCATTACTGTCATTACACTGTGTACAATAAAATTAAGCATCAGTGCTGTCAGTGCACTCCCATGATCAGACAACCATTTTTTGAGAACAGTAAGAAATGTGTCTGTGAAGATTCTCAGTCATGGTTATTCTGGTAGATTAATTCATCTAAATGAAATGTGTAAATATAAAATATAGTGGGAAAATAGTATGTACAAGAGTAACCTAAAATAGTCTCAACAAATGCAGTATTTACATTTACATGACATCTACTGAAAGCTGCAGTGGCCATCTGTTTCAGACCAAATCTGAGGCTACTTTAAAAACTATATTTGTGACCTTTTTTTTTTTTTAAACATTCATGTCTTTAGTAGGAACATATCTGATGCAGCTGTGTATGTGGCAAAGACAGTTTTGGAAGATGGATCTATACTTTAGCTCTGGCTTTTAAATAAGATTTGTTGATAAGAAAACTACAGAATTATGCCAGCCTGAATGTTCAAGCTGGTGTGATGTCAGTGTCAGTATCAGTATTGGACACTTCACCTACATTTATGATCTTATTTGTTGCTAAATTTGCATGCGCTCATGGAAAAATGAGCTCACATAGTTTATGTTTTGCTATTTCAGCTGAAGGCATAAAGAGATTTATAACATACTATTATGCAAATAAATGGCTCATTGGTGTGGGAACTTTGGATCCTCAAGACAGATATTAGACATTAAAGCTCCACAGGATGCTCCCTGACACACAGTGGATAAATACAGATTCCTGAGTGAGCTGATGACAGATTTGATAAATTGACAAACTGTCCCGTTCTTGTTATGAAAGTTGTCAGTTTGTATTTGAAAAGATATAGATCATGACAGTCCACATCTGGAATACACACTGTAGTGCACCTTGTATTTGACTTCCTCAGGGTGTGAGAGAATTTCTTGTTTCGGCCAAAGCATCAAGAAGGAACCAACCTGTGCCACCGTTCGAGACGGAGGCGACACGTGGACTTTGATGTGCCACGTCACATTTAGTGTGAGGATTTACAGCTCGGCTCCATCTGGGAACCATCTTACCTCGACTTCAATGGGCGGATAAAGTTCTCCTCTTGTTATCCCTTTGTCCAGAGTGAAGGAGGAGGAGGAGGAGGAAAGCCCTGTCATGTTTTCACAGACGGGTCATAAATTGGCGATACTGAGAGGAGGGGACTCATAATACCAGTTAATGGGTCTGCAATAAAAAGCTGAGTGGACAAAACGAGCTGAGTGGCAGCAAGATTTTGGTCCAAAAATGAAACTCGGCACCGTACCGAATGTAAAAATATTTATTGTAGTAGATAATATGATTAAGATGAACTGTAATATTAAAAGGGGGGATGTTTACACCAAAAGCAGAGCCAGATTAAGAGTCAGAAGACTTTATATTTATTACAGAAGGCTTGTTTTGAAGTTCAGGACCTGTCAGCTGTAATGGAACCGGTTTTGCTACATTATTCTTTCTTGTTTCTACAGTCTAAATATACATGGCCCCCATTCAAAACATCTGCTGATTAATGGTCGTTCATCTCGCTGATACCGTTTTCTATTATGTCTGCATTTTTGTGGCATTTAATCATAAAAGAGGACATCATCCCATGAAAAGCACCATTAGTTTGAGATGAGAAGCCGTCAACAGAATTAAGACATAGACTGACCAACGTATTGAGCAATGATCCTCCAACTTCACTCTGATCCAACTTGTGTCTTAAAAAGGAGGCAAACCTGTTCATGCATTGCAGATGTTAGTCTGGAAGTAAAGGTGTAGCTGCACTTAACCACACCTTTGAACATATAACTTAGTGTAACAACCTAAATTTGACATAAAATCTCCTTAATGAATTGATGTAGATGTGATTATATGAGTGATATTTTTCAGAAGTTGTTCAAGATACAGATGGCAACTTTCTTGTACTTCTAAAAGTATGCAAATAGTAAAGGAATGGATTAAACAGTGTTTGTCTCCTCAAAGGTAAAGCGTTATCCTTAGCTTGCCCGGATATTTTACTCCTAAATGCCAAGTCCAGCAGATAACATCTCTGGTGTCCTAAGGGACGCATTGAACAGTGTTGAGTTTCACTACGTCTGGAGCCACAAATTTCAGATTTGCAGGATGTGACGACGTTTGTGCTGCATTTAAGTGGTATCCAATTAGCAGCAATGGGCACATGTAAATTTCTTGAAACATATGTTAGTTTACACACTTATCATCGCTCTGTTCAACGACTATTTTTCAAATTTTCAAATGCCGATTGTCGTGGAAAAATGTGGTATTCTCTGAGAGAAGCTGTGGGTTATAATGTTGAAGTCACAGATATCAGCAAATAAGTGCGTTTCCGGCTACCTGTTTTCTTGTTTCAATAAAAAACTAATTTCAAAAAAGTGGAAATGCCAAAAGGTATCACAAAGAAGTTAGTACTTTTTACAGAAGTGGAAAAAGGATTTGTACTGACACAAAGTGCAATATAAACAGACATCGTAAATTAATCACGAGATACATGAACTTGCTTAACATCAACTGAAGACTGAATCAGATCTGTGTGGATTGATAAGGAAACAGTGATGTTCCTCAAAGTAATAATGAACAAAACTCAAAAATCATATTTCCATTATGTTTTGTACATCTTGTGATTTGACTGTTAATCCCATAATAGGCCTCTCTCAAGGTGTGAAAATTTGCTCACATCATAGTTAACATTAACTGTATAAATAATAAAATGATTGATGGCTGAATTCTGTTCAGTTTCTTATTCTGTAATTGTGCATGTTGCCTCACTGCATGTCTTAAATAGTACGGAGCTGTTGTTAATACGATGAGTAAAACCTGTTTTTTAGGCTGCATTCCAGAATCCAGTCACCAAACTATATCGTGTACTGCACCAAAAAGCAACATCCCAATACATAATATATCAAGTATGTCAAAAATCCCCAGATGTTCTACTGCATCCTGTCAGATTTTGCAATATGCCAGCCAGCATGCCTTTCTGGCCATTTTAAATCAATCTGCACAGTTACATCACATACATTGTGATGCTGTGCGTGACAATGAACAAGCTGGAGCTACAGCACATGAATGAACAAGAACTCATTTTGCACTACAGACAACGATGGTCAAAGTTTAAGGTGCAATATTATGCTGAAGCACTACGGCCCAGTTTTACACCGACTGAATGAAACAGTATGTACTTTGGGAAGGCAGCTGTAGTACATACTTAAAGTAATCAATTAAAGTTTTCTGCAATACTTAATGGCACCCAACTACAGACTTTAGAACACCAACTGTTAATCTTGACGCACCAACTCTTAATATTATTATTTTTATGTCATCCCTCCCACTGTCTTGGAAGTTCTCCTGACAAACCACAATGTCTGACATTGAAAGGATGATCTACTTCACCTGGGTCTTCCAATTTGTTCCCTATAAAATCTAGCTCATGTACTCACTTTGCTTCCTCCTTTCCGACAGCTGACATCCTACCATCCGTGACTGGACGCCGCAAACCGCACAGCTGTCAAACAGCCAGTGATTGTGAGGCATGAATGACGCAGCTGATGCCAACCAGGAAAACGTCAGTGCTCAGTCTGGGTTAACACCGTGCTTCAGTATTTTCTTGCAACCACAAACTAGTGAGCATTACTGCGAATGAAATACAGCGTGCATCTGTAATAGCATCAGCGCTCGCTCATGGTGGTAACTGCATGTGTGTTCGACATCAATATCGTGCTTTATCTGCAGTCTTTAGCCAAAAAAGACTCCTTTTTAATCCTGATTAGTGAATGCCCTGTGTATTTTGGAAAGCCG